AGCCTCCTACGATGAAAGAAAAGGGGTTTCTTCCACTTCAAACGCAATCAGCTATGAATCGCTCCAAACCAATTCTGAATCAGTTCAAAAGAGAGACCAACCGTCTCAACTTCAGTCATCATCATCATCAAGGATTGGCGATGAAGAGAGAGTGAGCGAAGAGGCAGGGAAAGATTTTCCCTAAAACATGAGAGAAGAGGGTGTAGAAGGTTTGCCTAAACAATGCATGGCCTTGGTCCTCAGTTTGGGTTTGGGCTTTGTATCAAGCCGAAACAGAACCCAAACCCAAAAGACCCCAACTTAAAAACTGGCAAATCGCCCAAGTTTTCAGAGCTGAAACTGCAGAAAAGAACCAATATGTCGCCGCTATATCCTAAAAAATCCATATGACTTGAAACCTCACATGTTCTTGCGGTTGGCCTTAAAAACACCACGTCAGCCAACATTAAAACCCTTGGTTATAGCCACATGAAAATACATGCATTTAAAGAAAATCATTGAATAGTATAGAACAGTTTGGATTTAGAAAGCCAGCATGAACATTACATAGGGAAATACAGGATAAGAGAAGAAATGAACATGGACAATCATAGACGTAAAGAAATTACAGATACTTACATTAGATTCTGAGTTCGCTTTCACGTCAACAGTGATGTTCTTGTTCTTTAGCTGAGACTGAATCTCACCAAAAATAATGTCATTTTTCTTCGTGCTAGAAGCTGTAATTGCCTGCAAATAAAAGCAAGTGTTAGAAAACAATTAAAAGAACAAGAGAAGCTTCACAATATATGTTCACATAAAAAAGTAAACATAAAAAACTGAAACTTCATAGCTTGCAGATTCATTGAAACGTAGATGCCATCAAAATCTTACTAATAGTCATGATACATGCACAATCTACATCTTTTAAATGGAGTATGTTATCAACAGGAGAAAGCACAACATCCCCATAGTTACATAGTAACCTAGACATGAGGATTCTTGTTTCATTCTGGAAATATGCAATAAGGCAAATACCCACACACCAGACCAGACGTACTCAACAATCCTAACCCCAAATAATCACGCCCAATATGTCTCATGATATGACTCATGCATAAACCAGCTTGAACAGCCATAATAAATCTGATATAACGCAGGAATGAGTTTCATGGAAACTAAAAATTAACACAAGGGGAACATTAGCAAAAGATTGACAATTTGAAAGGCAAGAGTGGGGAAAGTAGAAAGCAATCAAAACCATATATCACATGAAAACTGATTCTGGTATAAGGACTCCATGCAATTAACAATGACATAATCAACCGAAACCAGGAATCAGAATCTTATGCCAGGTGCGAGAAACTAGTACGCCCACAAAAATATGTTCAAACTTGACTTCAATAAAGACACAAGATTAGGGGGGAAGAAACAACATCAAAATTTTAAGGTTTATCCTTCATTTTAAGCTGCCCTCAGAATTTACAAGCCAACAAACCAAGTTAGACAGTGACATTCGAAGTCATAGAAACTCATAAGAATGGAAGCTTTACAAAAATCAGGATAATTAATGGTAAGCTAAGTGTTATTCAAAGTCTATTTATTCAGCAGGGATGTTACTTTTTAACAATGCAACTTCAAATAAACCTGTGCAAAAACTAAAAGACTTCTGTCAGGTCCAATAAGAACCTCTACATAGATTAGATGGCAACACGTCTAGGCATTCACAAAAGCATGTGAGTATGCCTTCTTATGGTCTTTTACATAGTGAAAGGTTACATTGTAAAATATGAAGAAAAAAATTAACAAAGAATAGGTTAAGCCGCACATCAATTTAAAATAGTTCATTGATTGAGAGAGAAATAGAAGAGAGACAGAGAGAGAGAGAGAGAAAGGGAGGGAGGGAGGGAGGGAGCACATGAAAGAGTGAGAGATTGCAAAAAAGTGTTCACCGCATGCACCACATGGCAAACACCAACTGCAAAAAAAAAAGGGAGAGAGAGGAGCTGTGTGCTTAGCATGGAAATGTCATTGGAGTAATCCAGTAGAGGATGACATTGCTCCCTGTAAATTTAAAATTTCATGACCAATAACAATGACATTGATACTAGAAATTAAAAGGCATGGCTACTAGAAATTAAAACTCCAAGATCATTGTATAGCTACTACATTTTTAAAATGTATGGTCACACAGCGACCATGTTATATGCAGGGTAAAAATAATATGCAACTACCACAAGCAATAACCATAGAAGTCGGTTCAAGGACTACATGTATCACTGACATATGCAAATTAGTTTGTCAGTCCAATAAGCAGGGAAAAGGCCATTCTATTTAATCATAGGAGATTGCAATACAAGAAAGTGAAGGTGTAAAGGGTAGTTTACGATACAAATTAAAGTTAGATCGAGTAGCAAGCTTCTCGGGCAGCACCAAAACATTAGACCTTCAAACCCTACCAAGACATTGACTTAGATACAAGTAATTAAACTCATAACACTGCAAACTGTTGAATACTTGAAATAATTTTAATCAACGTAGCAGCAGAAACCAGCCAAGCAAATGACAAAATTACGCAAAAATTATCTACTAAAATTGAGATTCCAAAAACCCATAACTACTCTATTGATTTTGATGTCTACCCATTTTTTAAAACAAGCAATAAACTTATCAAATCACTAGATCTCTCATATTCAGACGTTGTAGCATTCATAACTATCAACAAACAAATTGTAACAATTGATAAAAATCTTAATCATTCAAAGATATCAAACGAGCTCAGATCATGAAATCCTATAAGAAAGAGAAAAGGGAAGCTCACAACTCCATTAGCTGTCAACGTAGTGAGAGTGAACTTCTGATCAGTCTGATAATCCCTATACAAAAGATCTGCAGAGAGAAAATTAAAAAACAAATATCAGGTCAAATTTAATCAAAATAATCACCAAATAATCTGGGGAAAAAAGAGGAAATGATTGGACCTCTGGCCTTTTTGCCTATATCCAAGTAAAGACCTGGACCCATCTCTAAAAATTTGATCTTTAGAGAAAAGAGAGATGGAGCTTTGTTGGAGAGAGTGAGTCGGGAGAAATGGGGGATTTTTATAGAAGCGACAGTCTTGGAGGAAAAGAAACAAAACCCTAATCTTGGCGCACGAGGAGCGAATCGGTTCCTTTTGACACGTGGAAAAATGTGTGCCATTGGATTTAAGTGCTAATTGCTACCGTTGGAGTGTTACGTTTACGTTGCTAAGTATATTTCAATAATTTTTTTAGATTTCTTAGGGCAGATAAGAAAAAGCGTGACCTATTCTAGCGTCTGTGTTTGTAGTTAGGAAAATTGCTAGTTATCAACTTAATTTACATATTCCATGTTTTAGTTTTTTAGTTTTTTAGTTTTTAAGTTGCGTGTAAATTGTAATGCCAACTAATATGATAAGAAATTGACAGAGTATCCACTTACTCAATTTGAATTCCTAAATTTTTGGGTTCTTAAAATTGATTTCACAATTCCGAACTCCTTTCAAACTAAATATTGAAAACTACTCTGGAGAGATTAAATAATTTGTTGTATTTCTATGTTCCCCTCCAATTACAGGAGAATATCATTTTTACCTTTTCAGAATGTGGTGAAAAAAATGCAAATTGTTTCCTTAACCTTCCAAGAGCAGCAAAGAATAGTCCATTCGTATATCTGACTGTTCTGATAAATTTTGAACATAAGGCCAGAGTTTCTATCAATCGCAAAGTAAGTTAAAAAATTCTATTGATAATCATTTTTAAAGAATAACAAAAATGAGCTCAAATCACTCAAGCTTGGCTCACCTAATAGGTGGGTCAAGATTATGTAGGGTTATTTTGGCAAATTTATCAAAATTGGACGAGGACAGAATTGGACGAGGACAGAATTGATCTTATCATAGTTTTGAATGACTTATCAAGTACTTGTCCAATTTTGAGGTGAATTGGTTTTATTTAAAATCAGAGACGGAGTAGATAAAACAAATTCATTTTAAAAGGTTCTTATTAGATTGGGAGAATTTTCGCCAATTCAGGATGAGTTTGATTCTTAGGGCCTGTTCGTTTATTTCCTAAAAACCAAGAAATGGAAATGGAAAAGGTGGAAATCTCAAAATAATCCATTTCTTCCATTTCCATCCCTAAAACTCACCCACAACATCCAATAAAATATTATTTTCATCCAACAACTCATCCACATCATCTAATAAAATATTATTTTCATCTAACCACTCATCCACCACATCTAATAAAATATTATTTTCATCTAACAACTCATCCACCACATCTAATAAAATATTATTTTCATCTAACAACTCATCCATCACATCTAATAAAATATTATTTTCATCCAAACATCACTCAACTCATCTCTTTTCATCATTTCAAATCACTCACATCATCGAATAAAATATTATAACAATTCACCTCATCTCATTAACATTTCATTTCTTTGTTTTCATCCCAAAAAGTTGTGAAAACACTTTTCTTAATCTTTCTTCACATCACCCAATAATACAATGACAACTCATCTCATCTCATTTCATTTCTTATTTTTAAGAATGAACCAAACAAAAGAAAACAACAAAACTACAGGAAATAGGTTTCTTATAATTCATTTCCTTATTTTTTTCGCCAACCGAACAACAACAAAACTAGTTTTCTTAAAAAATCACTCACATCATCCAATAATAATGTGACAACTCATCTCATCTCATCTCCATTTCTTTGATTTCCTTTTTTTTAGCCAACCAAACAATTCATAAACCCATTTTTCTTAGAAATAGTTTTCTATTTCTTTGATTTCCCATTTTTTTAAGGCAAACGAACAGGCCCTTATTCAAAATGGAACCATGCCTAATCTCGATCCCCTATTGTGAGGTTGTGAAATGTGCCCTTAAAACTATAAAAGCGGCCCAGCGGCCCATGCCAAAAGTGAAGGCGAAATTGTTTACTCTAAAGCCTTTTTTTTTGTCAGGCTTTTACATAGTCGCCGTGAAAGAAGAGGAACGATTCAAAACATGGTGTTATGGTGTTTCCAATTTTGCCAAAGTGCAACTCATTGCCGAGTAACGGACGGGTGTATTATATTTATATGCTATGGCCCAATCAAGCTCTCGGCTAGGGTCCCGCAGGGACGACAACTTAGCCCACTTGTCGAGTTGACATTCATTCGTGTCGACTCGAAAGGCGATATTTGTCGCTCCTTTTTGTCGAAGACAACTCCCCACGAGTTCACTCGACCATTTGACAGACGCCTTGCGAAGTCTACTCGAAATGTGTTATTTCTCAGCGAAGCTAAAGGACAACTTCTGCCTCAAGCCTATCCTCACTGGCAACGTGTCAACCTCGCATTTAATACATGTCAGGCACATAATGCCTCTAGCTCCGATAGTTTTCATGACTCATCGGACCACGTGGGCACCGCCACGCCGCTCATCGCTTTCTGTTTAATGCTGAAGTGACCTTTCTTTAAATTACTAGCCGACACATGTAAAGCAGGTGCTGACGCAGCCGTCAGCCCACACTTCGTCATCGCCTCTCAGTGCTCGGTCGAAATGACCAATCTACCCTTACCACTTTGGTATAAATAAAGGTACTAATTCAACTTGGGCGATGCTGATCTTTTTCGGATCTAATCTGATATTCAATTTTCTCTGCAAATCATACTACTCATGCACAAGAACTCTCACAGTTCTTATTGACCCCACTCAAGTTTATCAGCTAATTTAATCATCGGAGATACAACGGGAGAACCAAACCTCGTCCTCTCATGAACTTCTACACGTGCAGATTTTTCAGATACCCAACTTAAGAACCAGATATAAAGTCGGGGAAGAAAACGGCCCCTCATCAATACTCAACAACCCCATCCAACCACGGATATAACTGACTGTCTTATCACTTAACATCAACAGATAGGTTAACAGAAAACAACAAATTTAAATGAGGGACTTTTTTCTTTAGCGGTTTTTCTATAAAGTGCCCATGGGCAGTTGGGCACTTTATAAGAGAGGAGGGAGAGAGAGAAATGAATAGTATATATATATATATATATATAGACTGTGTGATCAGTAGTACAACAACACATGGTTTCTTCGACAGTAGCCCCTTAAATATTTTAATATCTTAAAAATTGTCAGTCAAATATTGAAATTGCTATCAGATCTACTAATTCCTCTACCCATAAGTCCTTCAAATCATTTTTAAAATCCACCAATTATTATAAACTGTTTCAAATTAATCTCTCCAGTTAAACTAGCACTAGCAATATATATGAGCCGGAAGATCTAACAGTAACCTTAATTTTCATCAAGGGATTAATTTCAAATATTAAGATTCAACAGGCTAATATAGAGAGAAACACTCTCACAAATAACACGAGAAAGAAAATAAAAGAGGAGTTCTAGCTCAAAACTCAAAAGAGGAACTCTCCGGGTATCAAACGCATCCACTCATCGTTTCTGTGGGCTTTCTCATTTCTCGCTCCATGGCTTTGCTCCTCTCCACGAACATAAAGGATATGCTAATTATAGCAAATAACATGCTAGTTTTGCTCTGTCTATAAATTGCGGGGGTCTTAGATTTTGATCTCAAGTAATTTGTAGATTATTCAGTCGGTCAATTTGAGAATCAAAGGTATGCCTCCTAGTCCTCAAATATTTCTCTTTAATTTTTCATATGCAAATATATGGTCCAATAAACTAGAAAGGATTAACGAGAAGGCATCATTTAAGCAATCATTAAGGTTCTAAGGTTGTGTTCTGTTCATTAACAAAGAGAAAAAAGTTCGAGCAGAATTTGTTTTTTATTTTTATTTATTTGTTTGTTTATTTATATGTTAATACATTTCTTGGTCTATATCTTTCATTATAATATTTTTTTTGCATGTTTTTTTTTTTTTTTGAAAGAAAAAGGCCAAACGTGCACATATCATACATTCGTCCAGTTCCATGAAAATTTTCCGTGAGCTCCCATAAATTGAGAAGAAAAAAAATGATGGAGTGCGACAAACACTTTATTCTCCCATCCATGTTAAACATACACTATTTTATCGTTCACATACATATAGCAGAGGGTTTAACTCTAATTGGACATCAGCAAATCTAAGAGTTAAAAAAAACATTAGAAGTAATAAGCAACTAACATTCTAAGATATGGGTCTGCAATGAATTTTTTAAATAATGAACGGCGTTTTGTTATATTTTCTTTTCTTTTCTTTTCTTTTCTTCTTTTGGGAATGCAGATGGGAGGAGAGGAACCAAAGGAGGAGGAAAAGAAAGAGAAGAAGGAAAAGAACAAGGACGAAGAAAAACCGAAGGAAAAGAAAGACAAGGAAAAGAACAAGGATGAAGAAAACCCCAAGGAAAAGAAAGATAAGGAAAAGAACAAAGACGGGGGAGAGCCTAAGGAAAAGAAAGATAAGGAGAAGAAAAAGGACAAGGCCGCTAAAAATCCTGATGACAAGAAAAAGATCAAGGACCCTGCTGGTCTAAGAGCAAAGATGGAGAAAATTGATGTGAAGATTGAAGCCTTGAAAGCTAAGAAGGAGGAGCTTGCAAAGCAACTCCATGAACTTGAAAGTGGTGAAGTGAAAGCTCCAGAGAGCTAGATTTCTGAAGTAATGTGCATTCATGTAGAAAGAGATGGTGAATGCTAGACTACTATCTATGTTATTTAATTGTACAGATTCAAGGTCCCTATATTGTGTGTGACCTTAGTCATTTTTCATATGATGTTGTTTAACAATGTTGTATAGTTGAAAAGCTGGTCTACTAAATTTTTTTGCCTGTTTTGAGTAAAAACAATTTCCCCCACAATTAAGACTCCGTTTGTTTTCTCATATAATGTTCTTGTTTGGTAGGGGCTCCTTCATTTTCCAATTGAGTAGCTTGCATACAACATTTAGAAATACATGAGAAATCAGATATGCTTTACATTTCCTTCCTCTTAAATGAAAAACGTGTGGAAACTGTTTTCTCACAAAAAAAATGTTGGGCTATAGGGTTTTTTGATGATATGAGACTGTCAATGTCATGATTTACGAAGAGATGAAAACAGGAACGTTTTACAAAATACTTCATCTACGATCTTGATTGCGGAGAATCCGGACCCTTGATGGAACTCTATTTATCGGTCAAAGTTGACAAAAGAACATGTATAAACACGTCTAAGTTAAACAAACACACCACTGTAGAAATTGAAGATATAAACCATAAATCTTCAGTAGCAAACCAAATTTCTTTGTTATCTACAGTAGGTAATGACTAATAGGCAGGAGGTTCACCCATACACACCAAAATCCAATAGTTGCCCAAATTCTTCACAAACTCCTAAAGAAAATAATAAAAAGAGAACCAAACCAGTATCAAACCATCCATATAGAACTATGCTCGCTAAAAACTTCTTCACTCCAAAGAACCTGACTTTGTTTTCCACAGTTTAGTTAGTTAGTGGCGTTAGCCTGCAGGAGACCCTCCCTAATCTGAGAAGCAACGTCTCTAACAGCACCAGGACCATGAGGGATGAAAACAGCAGAAGACTTTGACGATGCTCCTATCTCCTTCATGGTGTCAAAGTATTGCGTCACCAAAACCATGTCCATGACGTCTTTTGATGTCGTGCCCGGCACATTCTCCGAGAATGCAAGTACGCTGTCTCTTAAACCATCAACAATGGCCTGGCGTTGACGAGCTATCCCCATACCTGCTAAGTACTTGGATTCAGCATCTCCTTCAGCTCGCTTGATCTGCAGTATTTTCTCTGCTTCAGCCTTCTCGTTTGCTGCCACCCTCATCCTAGCAGCTGTTGCATAAAACAGAGAAACTTTATTAAGGTAAATATATTTGTGTATCATACAATCACAGACTGGACAATGATATGAACTTGCCTGCGTTAATCTCATTCATTGCCCTCTTAACATGCACATCAGGCTCAATATCAACAATCAATGTCTGGACAATCTCATATCCATATGTCGACATAGCCTAGACATTAGGACAGGTAGAAAGAAACAGTCATTACAAATACTTTACTGACAGATTAAAAAATAAAAAAATATGGATGTACTATGAGAGGATGGGATGATTACCTTCTCCAGTTCATTCTCCACAGCTTTTGCAATATCATTTTTTTGCTCAAAGACGTCATCTAAGTTCAGCTTTGGAACGCTAGCCCTGATAACTATATTAGCAGCACAAGGAATAAACCATTAGAAGCTATTCGGCATGAGTAGTGATAACTAAACTGTGCTTTTGAAACTACTCTCGAACTACTAGACACAGAATGTGGGGTCCTTGATGACTCGTCAACTTTGATGGCAATGCAAGTGGCGGGACTCCATAATTTGGTGCGTAGTAGTGTAGAAGTAGTTTGAGAAGTATAATTTAGTTAGAATTATCCAAGCGGGAACTGAATAAGACATGCTAGACACAAGATCCACTGTTAAAAACATTATCACTACCCTGCAGTTTCATCAAATAGCCAGCAAATAAGGATTAGTGGATGCACCGACAGCTGAGAAACATGAATAAACTAATAAAGAGGAGCAGATAAATAGGCAACTTTAAAAATGTTAAAGATGGAAATATCCATGAATCAATTACTTATAGATATTATTTCTTGCCGGTGAAGAATATAACGAAAATATCCTCCGAGTATGACTATTACTAGAAAGCTGATACATAATAAAATCCTAGATACGTTTGACCTACTGTGTGCATGGAATGCTTCAACTCTGCATCAACAGTAAGAGTCAAATTGAAGAAAGCCACCTAATTCTATGCTGGCGCCATCAGTCATCCAATTTTAACCAATTCCCAGCCTGCTTGCTACTGATTCTAGAGCTGGTGCCACTGTTCATATGTTTTTTACCCTGATAACTTCCTGCACTTTGGTTAAACCCAATGCACAAAGTTTTCTCATTGCCTGACTATTAACAAGTAACGTGTCAGAATCAGTAAAATTCATCGATCTGCTAGGCCAGGATGCCAGAAAATATTCTGTGTCAGGACGGGATTCATCAAAATATAATTAAAAGGAAAGTCTCAATCAGGATCAACTCCATGCATGCCTTTACTAAAATTACTATTATCATCCTCCTCTCAAGTGCTCACTAATTCAACTTGATAATAATACTTTTTGACATTCCATGCATTGCCATCCTCATAAGAGAAAGAACAGTACTTGCCTTCAAAAAAGCTTTCTTGAGCTGACGCATATCTAAGTCGAATCTAAAAGATAGGTTTGAGAAGGTTCAAAGAACACTTGTTGCACAAAGTTCAATATTCAACTGTGAAAGCCTTAGCCATGTACTAAGTAACCTATGACTACAAAAGATAGACAAATGTCGTAGAAATTTTGTGAAATCCCTCATGATACCTTGTGCTTTACAGGAGACATTATTTTCATGGGGGAAAACTTGAGTGATGATGATAGCAATGAACTATGAAAAATAGTGGAATGCCACTGAAGATGACTGATTTTCTATATTTTCATTTGTATATAGCAAACATACGAGTGTTAAATTATTCTAGGATCAATAAAAATACCGACTTTCTTTTTTATACCACTCAAATATAATTTCAAAAAACCTAGCCGAATAAAGCAAGAAAACCATGTTTTACCACATCTTGCAAGAAATCATAACAGAACCATGTTTGTGACTTGTCAAGGTTTACAAGCTAGGAGGTCCCTAAATCCTAAATGTATATCACCAGTCCTGCTTCAAAGTAGTATTGTTTAAAGGCAATGCAGAGTAGCCTTACCATCAAAAACATATGACTGAATCTGCTCCCTCGTGTTGCTAAGCCTGTAGAAAGCATCAGACGCCTTCTCAGCAAGGGCCCGATATTGAATGGAAGCAACAACAGTAACAAACACATTATCCTGAATCATCGAGAGAAGAAGAAAAAATGAGACACAAACGCTCTAATTAAGAACCTTATACTTTTATATCTTCAGACTAGCCTCCTTTTCTTCTTTTTCTTTAACTTATATACTTATTTTCTTATTCAACATTAAAAATAATGGAGCAAACTATTAATAAGAACCAAGGTTTTAAATATCGGATATCGGGAAAATATCGGATGATCAAAATTCATATCGGATTGCGGATATCGGGGAAATATCGGGGATATGTGGTAAATATCGAAATGCCATAATGAATGTTTGCATACATAGTATAATGCATTAAAATGTAATCTCAATATATGTAATGAAATTTAAGCATACAAAATATGAATAATATATGTTTAGGATCACTAATCAACCTTCTAAAATAAACAAAAGTGCAAAGCAACGTTGCAACATTCGATCTGCTTTTTTAGGGCAAAATGTCATTTGATATAATGGGGAAATCTTGATATCTCGCCCAAAAATTCCAAACGCGGTATATTATTTTGCAACAAGCTATATAAAAAGATATATTGGTCCACATATCGGCTAATATATCGGCCATATCGGGGATTTATCACTCAAAATAGCCAAAAAACGGTAAAGGATATTTAAAGACCATATCGGTTGCGGCAAGCCTTGTAAAAGGATATATCGGGGGATATATCGGGTCATGTCGGGGATATTTAAAACAATGATAAGAACAGAATCAAAGTAACTAAATTATTGGCTCAGGACAAATTCTGATCAGATTGAAGTCATGTGGACAAAAGAGGTACCCATCTCCAAAAGGAGTCTCGAGTAAATATTACAATGACATAATAAGTAAAAGTTGGAAATATATTGCCAATTTAATATTTCACAAATTTTATCTAACTGATGAACTTTGAACGCTTGTCCTTCAACTTAGAGCAGAATAGAAAGCAGTAAAGGAACACAACAAATAATCACGAAAGTTAAAGATCAAGCTACCAACCTTTGTCTTCGTTTCACAGCGGACATCAAGTTGTTGGACACGTAAAGACAGATATCCAGCTACTTGTTGGCCAAAAATCCATGGCAAGCAGTGGCATCCAGGCTCAAGAACATCATCGAACTTCCCAAAAGTTTCTTTGATTGCAACAGTTGATTGGTCAACCTGCAAACAACACAATGCCTGCCCCATTGCACCTGTGACAAAAAAAAGGTCTGAAACACATTTGACAAAGGAAATAAGATAACAGATTCAACAGAATGAGTATATCGAACATGTGCAATTGATAAAATGACGACAACTTATAGAAATCTAGTGCTGACAAAGCGAAAACAGATAACACCGTACAAAGTGCACTTTAGGACTGATAAGCAGAGCATGAAGATTATCAATCATTTCAATCTATAAAAATAAAAAGGAACCACACCAAACAACATACATTATCAACTGCAAGTTGCTTTAAATTAGAGTATATTCCACAAAGCAATAACATGTACAAAGAGCCTAACATCTAGAAAATTTTGAAACCACACCCAAGTGAGGTGCCACATCCGCTCGTGTAATTAAGCATAATTCCATATATCAAAAGGTACAGCTAACATGATGCAGACTGATAGAAAGGGAAATTCTCCGAGAAAAAAAAAGTTAAATATAAACCCTATTTCTAGCAAATTTTCGTCAAAAGAAAAAGTATAATATGCTCCCTACTACAAGTGACAAGCCAGTATAAAGTACACCATAGCGAAACAAATCTAGCAAATTTTCCAACAATAAACTCAATTTCACCGTCGAACGAATTACCAGCTATACAAAAATATTACAAGTCGGTGGAAATCAAAATAGCCATAGCAAGCTTACCTCAGAACAGATGGAAGAGATACAAAATAACAAATTAATCGATTAGAACAAGCAAATGACAATCATAACTTGAGGTGGAGACCCAAGTATGAAGGAGCTGAAGGGGATGACAACCTGGATACAGATAAGATTAGGTATCACATAGAATTTTCCAAGATTCTCGTAATGTCGCCATCAGGGTAAAACTTTGGGAGTCAACTCGCTACCCGCCGAAAATAATTAAACATCTCCAAAGTTCAAAAGACGATAATTACAATAAAACCTTGAGCAATCTCTATATCTAATCTTTTCTCACAAGCAAAACTCATTCCTGTGTTTTAGTCTTTTGGCGGAGTCAATATCTAAAGGCGAACATATCTAAATCAAAGAAGCGGTATCTAAAAAAATTCAGCGATCGTTTTCATCGCATCACCATAAACACAGCTTGCCCTAAAATATTATCCGAAGACAAAACAAGAACAGCACTACAATGCCCATATCCGTAAACCCTAGAAACAGAGACAACGATTTAAAAACAAATTAAGTAACATCAATTCAAGAACAAACAATTGTATAGAATTTAAGTGAAAATAAGACCATAGAAAATTACGAAAACTAAGAAGATCGCAAGAAAGAGAGAGAATTTCTCTTACCTTGAGGATTGAGAATTGAGGGAGAATTGAGGCGAGAGATGTGAGAAAGGGATGGGTTTTTATAGGGAATTGGGATTTTTTATGTTTGACTCAGATGGAAAGCTCGGTAAGGTAGGAACGAGGAAGATGCGAGGATAAATTATATATCGAGGCGAAAGCTGCAGCGGCGATCCAATAAAAAAATTTTGAGTTAATAACGAGGATTCCTCAATTTTTTCGATTTGCACAAGGGGAATTTTTTTAAGGGAAAAATGTGTACAGGCCCCAAAAGCAAAAACTTCATGTGACGAGACCCCTCATAGTTTTTTCCATGTGAATCAGCCCATTGATGTGTGACACTTTGTACTGCAGCTTTTTTTTATTAATTATTACATGTCAGCTAAGCTAAAATCCCCAAATTATCCTTACCCTCTCTCCTCAATCCCTCAGACCCATCACTCATATCCTCTCTCTCTCTCTCATCTCCTCTCTCTCTCTCTCTCTCTCTCTCTCTAAAACTAAGAGCTTTCTCAAGCCCTCGCCCTCCTCGTCGTTGCCGCCTCCACTCAGGCCCACAAGGCTCCCCTCGAGTTTGTCGCCGCCTCCCCTCCCCTCCTCCACCCGTCCTCGTCAACGTAGATCGTCGCCGCTCCCCCGCCGTAGATCGCCACCGCAGAGCTTGAGGAAAACGCTCGAAAAGCTCGGGCAATTGAAGACTGTTGAGGAGTGCAGGGAGATGATCCGAAGATATGATGTTAATGGAGATGGTGTTTTATGCTTTGATGAATTTAAGAAGATGATGCTACGATAGTAGGTTGGTTTTTGAGATTGATCTTTACCGTAAATATTGATGTTGTTGTGCCCCGTTGAGATTCGGACATTACTTTTTCTTTTTTTTATTTGAGATGACTTTGATCAATTGAGGGTTCATGTTGACAATATATCTACGTTTTTAATTTCTCACATGACTGTGGATTTATCCTTATGAGCTTCTGTATTTGTAAATTGTGACCGATTCTGTTGTGGATGTTTTTTTAGTCACCAGGCTGAGATGCATAGAACATTAATCCATTAGCTAGAAGAAGAAAAGAAAAAAAGAAAAAATGTTTGACCAGCTACAAATAAATGAACGATTTAATTTTAAAAAATAGTCAAAAGTTATCCCCATTTTTCCACTTTCACGAGACATCCACGTCTTTTTGGAGGAAGCTGAATTTGCAATAAACCTAATGTGCGCAATCTTTTTGTATTTTAATTTCGAACAAATTTTTAAAATAGACCACTTTTAAAACTTAATTAGCAAAATAGGCTGAAAAAATATTTAATTACCAAAAATCGTTGTAAGTTGGGACGATAGATATAAATCGTTGTTATAAATGAGGATACAGTCATGTTTTTATAAATCGTTGTTAATTATATTTGATAATAGCTATACCTAATGATATGTTATTTCTAGATGCTATCGTGGTAGTTCTAGTAGCCCTCGAGTTAGTTCTATCTGCTACAATTGTTAATTCTGGCTACTAAGTTAGTTCTAACCGCTACTTGTTATTTTTGCTTCTACCTTAGTTCTAGCTTCTATTACCCTAATTCTAACTTGTACAGTCAGTTCTAGCACACACCTTACTAGTTCTAAACTCAGCTAATGTTTTTTACCTTCACACTTGTTAATTCATGCTTCTACGTTAGTTCTAGCTTCTATTACCCTAGTTCTAGCTTGTATACAGCCAGTTCTAGCTCACACCTTGTTAGTTCTAAACCCAACAAAGGTTTTTTACATGCACACTTGTTAATTCTAGCTTCTAGCTTAGTTCTAGCTTCTATTACCCTAATTCTAGCTTGTATACAGTTAGTTCTAGCCCACACCTTGCTAGTTCTAAACCCAGCCTTCGTATTTTACCTTCACACTTGTTAATTCTTGCTTCTACGTTAGTTCTAGATTCTATTACCCTAGTTCTAGCTTATATACAGCCAGTTCTAGCCCACACCTTGCTAGTTCTAAACCCAGCCCGTGTTTTTTACATGCACACTTGTTAACTCTTGCTTCTACGTTAGTTCTAGTTTCTATTACCTTAGTTCTAGCTTGTATACAGCCAGTTCTAGCCCATACCTTGCTAGTTCTAAACCCAGCCTTCGTATTTTACCTTCACACTTGTTAATTCTTGCTTCTACGTTAGTTCTAGCTTCTATTATCCTAGTTCTAGCTTGTATACAGCCAGTTCTAGCCCACACCTTATTAGTTCTAAACCAAGCCCGTGTTTTTTACATGCACACTTGTTAATTCTAGCTTCTACTTTAGTTCTAGATTCTATTACCCTAGTTCTAGCTTGTATACAGCCAGTTCTAGCTCATACCTTGCTAGTTCTAAACTCAGCCCGCATTTTTTACATGCACACTTGTTAATTCAAGCTTCTACCTTAGTTCTAGCTTCTATTACCATAGTTCTAGCTTGTATACAGCCAGTTCTAGCCCACACCTTGCTAGTTCTAAACCCAACCTTCGTATTTTACCTTCACACTTGTTAATTCTTGCTTCTACGTTAGTTCTAGCTTCTATTACCCTACTTCTAGCTTGTATACAGCCAGTTCTAGCCCACACCTTGCTAGTTCTAAACCCAGCCCGTGTTTTTTACATGCGCACTTGTTAATTCTAGCTTCTACCTTTGTTCTAGCTTCTATTACCCTAGTTCTAGCTTGTATACAGCCAGTTCTAGCCCACAACTTGCTAGTTCTAAACCCAGCCTTCGTATTTTACCTTCACGCTTGTTAATTCTTGCTCTACGTTAGTTCTAGCTTCTATTACTCTAGTTCTAGCTTGTATACAACCAGTTCTAGCCCACACATTACTAGTTCTAAACCTAGCCTTCGTATTTTACCTTCACATTTGTTAATTCTTGCTTCTACGTTAGTTCTAGCTTCTATTACCCTAGTTCTAGCTTGTATACAGCTAGTTCTAGCCCACACATTGTTAGTTCTAAACCCAGCCCGTTTTTTTTTACATGCACACTTGTTAATTCTAGCTTCTAGCTTAGTTCTAGCTTCTATTACCCTAGTTCTAGCTCATGCACACTTGTTAATTCTAGCTTCTAGCTTAGTTCTAGCTTCTATTACCCTAGTTCTAGCTTGTATATAGCCAGTTCTAGCCCACACCTTGCTAGTTCTAAACCCAACCTTCGTATTTTACCTTCACACTTGTTAATTCTTACTCTACGTTAGTTCTAACTTCTATTACCCTAGTTCTAGCTTGTATACAGTCAGTTCTAGCCCACACATTGCTAGTTCTAAACCCAGCCCGTGTTTTTTACATGCACACTTGTTAATTCTAGCTTCTAGCTTAGTTCTAGCTTCTATTACCCTAGTTCTAGCTTGTATACAGCCAGTTCTAGCACACACCTTGCTAGTTCTAAACCCAGCCTTCGTATTTTACCTTCACACTTATTAATTCTTACTTCTACGTTAGTTCTAGCTTCTATTATCCTAGTTCTAGCTTATATTTTTAGAAGTAATAAAGTAGGAAGTAGTGGAAATAGTATTTTTTTTGTTTGTTTCTTATATTTTTAGAAGTAATAAAAGTAGAACTTCTTCCTCTTTAAATTTTTTTTGTTTGGATAGCATTTGGAAATATTACTATGAAGTAATTTTATCAATGAAAAGTTGTTAGAAGTAACTAATAAAAGAAATATTAATAAAAAATTTATTTATGTCCTAATTAATATGCATTTCAACTACTTCTGAGCTACTTCTGAGTATTGAGGATTGGAAAAATATTTTGGAAGTAAGGATGACACGTAGGCGTCACATAAGTATTTAGGGAAGTATTAGAAGTAGGTTTTTCAGAGAACCAAACACACTTTTTTGCTTGGAAGTAGCAGAAATAGCTTTTACTTCTTTTACTTCAGCTACTTTACAATTACTTCCGTGCAAACAAACAGGTCCTACCAAGGGATTTTTTTTTTTTAATAAGCGAAGAAGAGAGGATTATTAGTTACAATGATCACGTGTCAGGATAGATGAAAGACGCAATTGAGATTGCATGGTGAAATTAATTAATTAGTATGGGGAATTGAAATATGCAAATAAACCCTGTAACCTTTTATCATTACATTTATCAGTTTATACGCATGTATCTTACATATAGTCAGTTTTTTCAATATTTCTATGTAATCCTTTAAATATTATGATTTCCACCTCATGTAGATAAGAATAAATGGAGCACGATAAATCTTATTATTTGTTACTTTACGTTCAAAGTTATTAATAATCAACACGGTAAATGGTTATACGATATAAGTCCAGAACACACTGTAGGACCAAAATCAGCTCTCTACAAGTCAGTAAGTTTGGGTTTTTCGATATAAGTCCTCTACATAGTACATACTTTGACACTAGTCCCTCAAATCATTCAAACTACTACTACGTCCTTATACGTTGCTATCACTGGTCTTTGATCGGAATTCGGAGGGATTAATCTAAAACAGTTTATAAGAACTGGGACATGATAGTAATTTTGATAATATGAGGGACTTTTTTTTTAAACAAACTTATAGAAATTGGACTAAAACCGAAAATTTTCAAAAAATTATATAAAACACAGGTCAAAAAAATAATAAAACAGAGCAGAAGAAGAAAAAGTTTGAAGGCACATCAGTTATAAATATCCAGTTATATTTCGAATGAGATGATATATAACCAACTAGCAGCAGCATTCAATCCCCTCTCCCCCTCAAGTTTTATCCACATCAAACTCTTGAAACCCCCTCAAGAACCCTACATTCACTGAACGAGAACTAGTACCGCTGCTCATGGCTTTTTTCCATTAGGCTTCATTGACTGCTGATGATACGGCGAAGCATACGCACCATTCGACAAACTCCTCATCGGTGGTTGCCCATTTTTCGCGACAGAACCCTGATTCTTGAACCCAGTCCTGCCATTCTCGCTGACTGAACGAGCAGTGGCGCGTTCAGCCTGCATGCTCTGAAAGAAGTAAGACGAGCTCGCCATGTCCTTGAGGTTGAGTAACGGTTTTAGGGCTTCGACCACTTCGCTCATTAAAGGCCTGACCTTGGGATCTCGGCTGAGGCAGTGGTGGGCTAGTTGAGCTGTCTTTTGGGCACCTTTGATGGAGAAGTTGCCCTCCAGACGAGGGTCTATGAGGCGGTAGAATCTTCGTCTTTCACCTAGGTAAGGGCGGGCCCACTCCACGAGGTTGTGCTCACCGTTGGGTCTGTTCTTGTCCATGGATCTTCGGCCTGTCATCATCTCGAGGAGGACAACACCAAAGCTGTAGACGTCGCTCTTTGAGGTGAGATGTCCTGCAATATAAAAAAACAAGGTTTGCAAAGATAGGTTCTGATAAATCAATACTAGTATTCCCATGCATGTGATGTGTGCATGCTATATAACGTGGGGGGGTCTGTATAGTCGAATTGTAGTGTAGGGCATATCCTTTTTTTTCCCAAGTGCGAAGACAATTTTCGTTGATTTTTCAAGTGAGGATAATTCTGTTGATTGTCGCAAGTGTGAGGGCGTTTCCGTTGATTATTGCAATCGTGAGGGTGTTTCCATTGATTTTTGCAAGTGCGAGGGTATTTCCTTTTATTTGTTAAAAGTGTCAGGGCATTTCTGGAATTTCTGAAAATGTGATACACCGAGGCCAAACCAAAAGAGGGGTTTTCTTAAATATATTAGTATAGATGAGCGGAATTCAGGACAATCGCTCAGAATTTGATAATGAAAAAAATGGATATTAAAAAACAAATTCCAAATGCACTCCAGCATAAATATAAAATGACGTCATAGAGAAAATAGTACTAACAAGGTAGAACCTACACACACACACAAAGGAAAGTTGGTGAACATTTTCCAAGGGAGAACTACGTAATCGTGAATTCTGAAGTCGTCAGATTGTAGTTTAGCTGGCGGATAATGACTTGGAGAATCACTTGGCTAAAGGAATATAAAAAGAATTGAATTATGTTTTAATATGAGTATTATATGCTTAGAATTATATGTTGGCCCTTGCAAGATAATAAAGTAGCTTCTAAATTGCACCACAAACATCAGCCTGAGTGCATGTGAAGTCATTTTGAGCAATGAAACCAAGCAGTGAAAGAGAGGAAAGTCAATTTGAGTATCTGATAAGACCAATCAATTGGAAACTTTACTTGCTCATTTTACTCATTTCATTTACAGATTACTCCAAGCTCGGACAATATCAAAGGCAGAATGAATAATGCAAGATAACTTCACCTGTCATTACATACTCAGGAGCTGCATATCCATATGTCCCCATAACCCGTGTTGAAACATGAGTCTTATCTCCCTCAGGGCCGTCTTTAGCAAGACCAAAATCAGAGAGCTTGGCATTATAATCCTACAACACCATGACTCCATAAACATCAACAGGACAACAGGGGAAGGAAGAAGGAAAAAAAAACAACCAAAGCACATAGAAGCTTACAGCATCTAACAGAATATTAGATGTTTTAAAATCACGATATATAACTGGTCTTTCCGCTTCTTCGTGAAGAAAAGCAAGTCCTTTAGCTGCACCAAGAGCTATCTTCATTCTGACAGACCATGGAAGAGGAAGGGACCCTGCTCATATAAGTTGGTTAATGCTAGCACAGAACCCCAAGAAACTGGAGACTAACAGCATACAGTGTAATACAAAATCAGAG